AAATCTCATAGAAACTAATGTGAGAGTGATTATGGGTCATTTAAACATCATTTGAGACTGAAATTCGGTTTTTTTATGTGTTCATTACAAATGGTACTAAACACCCAATATCAGGTACTACAACAACATAAAAGTGGTACTATCTTACTCTAGGTCTGGTACCAATTACTGCAAATGTTGACCACAATTGAATAATATATTTTCGTTTACCAAAATTTGGTACTAATCGATCAAAAACCGGTACCACATAAAAGAAGATGTGGTACTATATTGGCTAAAACATGTACATGATTTCTCTAATTATTAATGTCTACCATGACACGTGGATCGTTCACGCGTAATTTTGGATGAAAAATAGTGGAAGTTAAAACATATAGGTATAATTGGAGTAGTCATGTACGATGATTCTATGAGATGAAGTGTGTCATTCAATGAAATGAAGTGTATTAGTAGTGTTTTCTCATTAGTGTGTCGAGTTCATGACCATTTTATGATTAAACTCAATTAAAAATATTTTAAATATATAAACTAATGTGAGAGTGATTATAGGTCATATAAACATAGTTTGAGACCGAAATTCGGTGTTTTTATGTGTTCATTAAAAGTGGTACTAAAGACCCAATATCAGGTACTACAACAACATAAAATTGGTACTATCTTACTCTAGGTCTGATACTTCTTTTTGTAAATGTTGACCAAAATTGAAATAATCCATTTTAGGAATCGTGATTTTCTTAATCTTTCATGTCTACCTTTTCACGTGGATCGTTAACGCGTGATTTGGATAAAAAAATAATGGAAGTTAAAACATATAGGTATAATTTGAAGTAGTCATGTATGATGATTATACGAGATGAAGTGTGTCATTCAATAAAATGAAGTGTATTAGTAGTGTTTTCTCATTAGTGTGTCGAGTTCATGACTAATTTGCGATTAAACTCAATTAAAAATATTTTAAATTTCATAGAAACTAATGTTATGGGTCATATAAACATCATTTGAGACTGAAATTCGGTGTTTTTATGTGTTTATTACAAGTGGTATTAAAGACCCAATATCAGGTATTACAACAATACAAAACTAGTACTATCTTACACTATGTCAGGTACTACTTTTTGTAAATGCTGACCAAAATTGAAACAATCCATTTTCCTTCATATAAGTATGTACTAATCAATTAAAAACAGGTACCATGTAGAAGAAGATGTTGTACTATTTTCGCTAAAACAAGTACTATTTTAAGAATCGTGATTTTTTTTAATCTTCATGTCTACCTTTTCACGTGGATCATTAACGCGTGATTTGGATGAAAAATAGTGGAAGCTAAAACCTATGAACAGAATTTGGAGTAGTCATGTATGATAATTCTATGAGATGAAGTGTGTCATTCAACTTCAAACCCAACACTCACTATGAATATATTCTTCAATGTCCTTCTATTTGATCTCAAGAAAACTTTAATCCTTGTTTGAGCCCCTACTTCATTGATCTTTTCTTTAATTTCTATGAGTGTTGAAACTGTCCAAGAGCTGAACTAATTAAAGCAATATAATGTATTATGTTAACAAAAACTCCAAAAACACCATGAAACATCAAAACACTAAATACCAAATTCCAAACCACACAAATCACAACAACCACAGCAAGCNAAAAAAAAAAATGGCGAAAAAAAAATCTACATCAAACCCTTTGCAGCTAGACAAACACCAAAAAAGCTTCATTAATCACTTCATCCCAATTCACAACCCACCCACAATTAAGAAACAGACCAATGAAGCATAAGTATGAATGTGAAGGCCTTAGAAATATTTTCTTGTAATTGTTTGCATAGAAATCTACACCTCAAATTAATTATCATTTTACAAATACTTCAATGTAATTAAAAGCTCATAAAAATACATTTATCCTTATTCAAGTCTAATAAAAAAATCTTTTACTACTAAGAGCATGTAGCGAATTTATATACTATTTTAAAGCAAATTTATATACATCATTTTACCCCTCCAATGCAAATTCCTACACAAAATAAAATTTTGGTGATATATTCAGAGAAAACACACGCCCCAATAGCATAATTCTTTCTCAAAGATTCGATCTTGCACATGAAACCTCAAAAGATCAATGTAATTTGACTTTCTAAGCATTGAATTACCATAGCAATTTGAAGAAAAAAAATAAAAAAATCAATTCCCTTCAAAATTGAATCCAACTCACAACCCTGTAAAGTTTGTGAAGATGTAAAGTCAAGATGAATGAAAGAAAAATATTCTCCATTACTTGCAAAAGAGAAAAGATACAGAGTTTATAGGCTCTGCCTTTTACATATTGATCCAAACGCACTACCGCATAACTACCCGAACTAATAGCTATCCGACACGTGGACATTAAGATTCCTCAGAAAATAAAAACAAAAGAAAAGATAAATACTGTAAAATACTTAATAAACTATGATAATTTGAGCACGTTTTTACACGCCCTCCTCAAGTTTTGCACTCGTGTGAATCGCACATGCCTAACTTGACCACTTGCTTTTGAAAGGTTGAGGTTCCCAACGGCTTTGTGAGAAGATCTGCAATTTGATCTTGGGAGTAGACATGGCTCAGGTAAACAAATCCTTCCTTCACCTTGTTTCTCACTAAATGGCAGTCGATGTCCAAATGTTTTGTGCGTTCGTGAAAAATGGGATTTTCTGCTATGTGTATGGCTGCTTGATTGTCACACCACAGAGTAATAGGAGTAGGGTTAGGCATCTGAAAGTCTTCTCCTATGTAAATCCATTGAAGCTCACAGACTGTGCTTGCTAATGCCCTGTATTCGGCTTCGGCTGATGACCTTGACACTGTGTTTTGTTTTTTTGTCTTCCGTGAAATGAGTGATGTTCCAAGGAAGATGCAATATCCTGTGATTGATTTTCTTGTGTCTGGGCATGTTCCCCAATCTGCATCACTGTAACCAATGAGATTAAAGGTTGCCTTTGCTGAGTAGAACAAACCCAATGAAGGTGTCCCTTTCAGATATCTCACTATGTGTATAGCTGCATCCCAATGTGTTTGAGTAGGCTTGTTCATGAATTGGCTTAACTGTTGTACTGCAAAGGTTATGTCTGGTCTTGTGAAATTAAGGTACAACAGTTGTCCTATCAGCCTCCTGAATTTTTCTGGTTCTTTCAACTGTCCACCCTCTTCATTTCTCAGTTTGATTCCAGCTGGTAAGGGTGTAGAAGTTGGCTTGCATGCCTTGAGTCCTACTCTGTCTAAGATTTCAAGGACATATTTCCTCTGATTGAGGTAGATCCCATCTTCATTCCTTGCTATCTCAATCCCAAGGAAGTATTTTGCCTGTCCAAGGTCTTTAATTGTGAAGGTTTTGTCTAAGAAAAACTTAAGAGCTTTCAGTTCCTGTGGATGTGTCCCTGTGATTAGCACATCATCCACATAGACCAATAATGCCAGAAACCCATTCTCATTGTTCTTTGTGAAGAGACAATGATCACATGAAGATTGTTCCAGCCCATAGTCAACCAATTTCTTGCAAAACTCAGAGTTCCATTCTCTAGATGCTTGTTTTAGCCCATATAGGCTTTTCTTAAGCATGCACACATCTCTTGTTTTCCCTTTGGAATAGCCATCTGGCATCATCATGTACACTTCTTCCGTCAAACTCCCATGTAGGAATGCATTGTTAATGTCTAGTTGGTGTAATTCCCACCCTTTTATTGCAGCCAAGGCAAAAATCATTCTGACTGTCACAATTTTAGCCACTGGTGAAAACTATCAGTGTAGTCAATTCCTTGAATCTGATGATAGCCCTTGGCAACTAGTCTTGCCTTGAATCTCTCTACACTTCCATCTGGATTTCTCTTAATCTTGTAAACCCATTTTGATCCAACTGGTAGCCCGATTTTGTGCCTGAGAGAGAGAAGAAGTTAGGGATGGGAAGGAGAAGAGTCTCGAGAGTTACCGATTTTTTTTTTCAATTTTTTTTAATAAAAAACCTGGTAGGATTTCAGTCAAAAAAACAGGAACAAATTTTTTGTAAGGCGTGACCACGACTTATAAAATGAGAACTAGTTCGTCTTGAGCCAAATAAACGTGTCCACGCCTTACAAAAAAAATCGTTTCTACTTTATAATTACTAAAATTCCTATGACTACTAGAAAAATAACAAAACAAAGAATAACCTAAAAATAAAAAATCAAGAATAAAAATAAAATAGAAAATTTTGGGTTGCCTCCCAAAAAGCGCCTTTCTTTAATGTCTTCGGCTAGACATTATTTTCGGGACTTAACCAATTCCCTTTTTAATTTTTTTCAACTCATGCAAAAGACTTTGTTCTTGATCCTTGATCAAATTCTCAACAATCAATAGTGGCAATTCCGACACCTGCAAAATAAAATATGAATCGTCAGTACGAGTAACAGGTGGTATGGTATCACTTAGAGAAAAACAATACGACTCATATAAACTATCTTGAAACTCTAGTGAACTATCAAAGGTTGAATCATTGAAAAGTACAACTTTCAACTTATCCAAACCACTCGAGTCAAGATTTTTCGACACTTCAAATTCACCAACACCCATATAATCACTAGGAGACAAATCACTTGCAGATCAAAAAACCACAACTCGTTCAGATTCCTCCATGAATTCTTGCTCTATCTTAGGAGATTTCGTCAACTCTATAGCACAACTCGAGGTATCTACCACCGTATCTGATGACAATTCAAATCGAGATGCGGTTTCGCTCACTGAGGACACAAGTTGATCCAGTCGATCTGCTAGATTCTTAAGTCTACTCCTAGTCTCTTGTTGAAACTGTAAAGTACTAAACATAAGCGACTTAACAATTTCTTCAAGAGATGTGATCAAACTCGATGAATATTGTTGTTGGGTAGCAAATGGTGTAGAAGGCGAGTAATCACCCCACCACTCAGAGTTGTAGCTATCATAAAATCCATCAAAGCTACCTCGTTGCGGTTCTTGAAAATTTCCAACTTGAGAATGCCCTTGAGGTTCATATAGAAATGTTGGGCAAGAACAAGTTGGGTGTTGAGCGTCACCACAAATTCCACAAAACTCAGATTGGCACATGCTTTCCCTGTGATAACCATTTTGCTCGAACTGCTGAGAATAAAACTCCATAAAATGTAAGCCTATTGCACAAAAGAATAGTGCACCAAAAAAAGTCTAATTAGAAACCAATCCCCGGCAACGGCGCCAAAAATTGGTGGGTGTCGAATCCAACAATAATAAATTCCTGCTTTTAAAATAACTGTAGTAGTGGTAAGCAGGGTCGTATCCGCAGGGATTGGCTAGACAGAGTATTGATGCAACTATTCGTGAAAGAAATGAAAATAAACGATGGGGGTTTTGATGATTTTATCAAACTTAGAAAATAAAATCTAACTATAGACGAAAACAAAATGGGTGATTAAAAATAGAGAAAATATCCAACCAAAGGAAAAACTCGTAGAAATGATTCAACGATTCGATCACGGATGCAATAATAATTCTCCTACTCTCGATTAAACTGGTTATGGTTATTGGTACGACCTAACAACCTATCCTTCCTTACTTGCTCGATAATCAGGATACGATCTCTAATTATTTCTCTAATCAACAGACAACCCTAGATACGATCATAGGATTTAATCTATCAACAGCATTGAAATCTAGAAGGACCACCAATTCTAGCCAACAAACGCACATGTAGGATCATTTAGACTAGATCATATATCTCCCTAAGCATACAATCGAAAACCCTTAGTAATCAACTATGCTATTTGCCACAAATATTAGAACGATCAAACAATTACGGATTTAACCATCCTAAATAACAGTATGCGTTTCAACAATCGAACAAATGGCCAATTTGCATCAACAATTAAAACAAAATTGATAATAATCACAAGAGATATATAAATAAAAGAGAAGTAGGGAATATAAATTCAATTAGATCTCACAAATCATGAAGAACCAAGTCTAGAATAATCCTTTGGCTGGAAAAATAAATTAATTCTCCATAAACATGGGAGAAGCCTCCCAATTATTCATGAAAAATAATAGAGAAAAATAAAAGAAAAGAAAAGAGAAGAAAAGGCGGTGTGCGTCGATGGAGAGGAAGAGAAAAGAAAAGATCAGATAAAAGATAGATCCTAAAATAAATCTAACAGTCTGGTTTTTAATCAAACCAGTCTATTCCTAATCCTAGCAGAAAGTACGTAGAAAATAAAGAGATCATTCTCTCTCCAAAATATCCTAATAAAATATAATAGTCCATAAATAAATAAATACTCCATAAAGTCTTTCATTTCTCTTTCCAACTCAAGACTCCTTCCTTCTTCTAACTCTTGTAGGAAATTAGCGTGCCCACGCCTTAGCTCAAATTCGTCTCTTTCGCCTTTCAATTATCATAAATTCCAAATTTCGAGATATCCTACATAAATTATAAAATTCAATCAAAAGCAATAAATAAACTCCAATAAACACCGAAAAGTATGGAAAACATGACAATTAACATGCCAAGAATACAACTTATCACTTGGACTTAATTCTGTAATGTCCATTTGATTTTCTCCTCTTGTTGGTGTATCCATTACTTCTGGGATGTCATTTGCTGGCAGTGGGATTCCAACCCTTTTTCCTTCCTTTTCTTGATATATGAAAGTATCTTCAAAGAACATCACATCTCTGGATGTTATGATTCTGTGATCCTCCATATCATATAGCTTATATCCCTTCTGTCCTGCTGAATAACCTATGAAGACACATTTGATGGCTCTTTTCATGAATTTGTCCTTTGTTGGATGGACATTGGTAGCATATACCAAGCATCCAAACACTTTCAGCCCTCCAAAATCTGGTGGTTTCCCATGGAGTATTTCAAATGGTGTCTTCCAATTTAGAACTGAGCTTGGCAGCCTGTTTATAATGTGTGTGGCTGTTAGTATAGAGTGTGGCCAGAGTTCTGAGGGCACATTTGATTGGAACATGAGTGCTCTTGCCACTTCCAACAGATGCTTGTGTTTTCTTTCAACCACTCCATTTTGTTGGGGTGTGTATGGACAGGTCTTCTGATGCACTTATCCATGTTCATGCAATATTCTTTGACACTCATGTCCTGTGAATTCTGTTCCATTGTCTGTTCTCATCATTTTGACTTTTATGTCAAACTGTGTGTTGACCATGTGCAGGAAATTCTTCAAGACTTCTGTGGTTTGGCTTTTGTGTGAAAGTGAGTATGTCCATGTGGCCCTGCTGTAATCATCCACAATGTTGAGCAGATATGGGGTGTTTGAGATGTTCTCTCCTCTGTATGGTCCCCATACATCTACATGTACCAGCTCAAATATCCCTTTTGTTTATATCCTGCCCTTTGGGAACATCATCCTTTGTTGTCTGGCCTTATGACACACTTCACATGTCCTCATTTGTCTTTCCATTTGACCTGTGCATTTTAGGTTCAGGGATTCCAAGTGCTTCATTGAACTTGAGGGACTGTGACCTAGCCTTTGGTGCCACAGCAGAAATTTATCTTCATCAATGTGTGAGTTGGTCGCATCTTGAGACAAGAGAGATGTGGACACTACTCCCTTTTGCTCAGTCTGCTTCTGTTCTAAGGTATACAATCTTTCTCTTGCCTTTCCAATGAGCAATACTTTCTCATGCTGCATCCCTTGTATCATGCAGTGACTTGGTGTAAAAGTGCATTTCATTTTGTGTGATTGGCATAACTGTCCCACTGATATGAGATTAAACTTAAAAGTTGGTACCAGCAGCACTTCCTTCAGTACCAGTTCTTCCATGAGATTCAAAGTCCCTGCATGCTTTACAAATTTTAATGTTCCATCTGGTAGACAAACTGTGATAGGATCTTTCAAGCATGTGATTTCTGTGAGCAAGCTGGGGTTGGAGCACATGTGTCTAGTAGCTCCTGTGTCTAGGATCCAAGTTGATGTGCAAACGGTTTCTTGAAAATGTAGTGCATATTGCATGCTGTCACTTGGTTTTGTGCCTTTTGATTCCACAAAGTGTGCATAGCTAAAATTGGTGTCTGCTATGCTTGAAGTCCCCATCATGTACTTCCTTATCTCCTGTTGGATGAGGCTGCTCATATCCATCTGATTATTTGCAGTTGCTTCAATTTCATTTGAACCCCTCATTCAGATCCAACTAAATTTGCCACATTGCTTTGCTTTTGTCTATTTTCCTTTGGTTGTTTCCACCAGTCTGGATATCCATGGATCTTGAAGCATTCCTTTACTTCATGTCCATTCATTTGACAATGGTCACAGTAGAGTTTGGCCTTTTCTTCCTTGCTTCTTCTTATGTTTTCTTTCCCTTTATTTCTTGTCCAACTGCCCTGAGAGTTGATGTTTCTGTTGGTATTTTGTGCTCTTCCCATCATTGCACTGTTTTCTCCTGCATCATGTGCATTAATCTGAACACTCCTTTGTCTTTCCACCCTTAAGATCATGGTGTAGGCTTTGTTCACATTTGGCAAGGGATCAGTAATAAGGATTTGACTCCTTATGCTGTCAAAGCTTTCATTAAGGCCCATCAAAAACTGCATTAATTTTCCCTTTCCATCTCTTTCTGCCATTAGCTTTGCAGCTCCACATTCACAATTTGGCAGAGGATCTAAGCTATTTTGTTCATCCCAGAGTTCTTTTAGTTTTGTGAAATACATCATGATCGACATATTCCCTTGATTCATGTTTGTAATTTCTTTCTGCAGCTGAAAAAGTAAAGGCCCATTGCATTCCCCAAATCTTTCTGCTAATTCATCCCAAAGTTCTTTTGCTGTGTTAGCATAGATAAAAGCCTCTACGATGTCTTTTGAAATCGAGTTTAGGATCCATGAAGTAACCATCCAATCCACTCTTTTCCATTTTTCATAATCAGGAGAATTTTTTTCAGGTTCAGGTGTGGTTCCATCTATGAACCCAAGTTTTGTTTTAGCTCCCAGTGCGATTCTCATAGATCTACTCCAAGGTAAGTAATTATTACCTGTCAATGGAGATGTCACGAGTGTCGCTCCAGGATGATCGGAGTTTTGCAGGTAGGTGGGATCCTGCTCGCGAAGGTTTGCTTGAGATTCTGAGCTATCGGAGCTGACGTTTAACGCCGGCCATGGGTTTTGTGTTGTGCGCACCATGATTGTGACCTAAGCTCTGGATACCATGTAAAGTTTGTGAAGATGTAAAATCAAGATGAATGAAAGAAAAATATTCTCCATTACTTGCAAAAGAGAAAAGATACAGAGTTTATAGGCTCTGCCTTTTACATATTGATCCAAACGCACTACCGCATAACTACCCGAACTAATAGCTGTCACGTGTCTGCATAACTACCCGAACTAATAGCTGTCCGACACGTGGATATTAAGATTCCTCAGAAAATAAAAACAAAAGAAAAGATAAATACTTTAAAATACTTAATAAACTATGATAATTTGAGCACTGTAAAATACTTAATAAACTATGATAATTTGAGCACGTTTTTACAAACCCACCCACAATTCAGATCGACTAAATCCATAACACCAAAATTCTCTGATCTGCTCAAATGGCAAAGCAGATCAACACCAGAATCCGATACAACGAAGAACAAAAAGGCAAAGACCCACTCTACTAAAACTCTTTTCGTATAAATTTTCCTTTATTTATTTTTTCTTTCTGAATTTTTCTAATCTATGAATATTCACTGAAAGGATCGAACGTCGGCTAAGATATCAAACCATTCCCCTTAATACTGAAGAATTTGACCAAGAACAGGACGCCAAACTCCAGATCCCACCGCAACCTCCTCCTCCGTCGGATGGTGACCCGATGTTGTATGTACGGCACGCCGACGCCCGAGCCGGCGTCCACCTGGTGAATGGCTTTCTCCAGCAGATCGAGCCCGTGGCACCGATGCGCAGACGCTCCTCTGGCCGCCATAAACGGACGCGCCGGGGAAGAATCGGACGAGCTCTGGGAGGAGGACAGAAAATTAGCCGCCGTGATTGATGATGAGTGATGGGACGGGAAGAAGATGAGGAGATGGAGCAGTGATTTGAATCGGAGAGTCGTCTTCACGAATTTGAGATTAGATTTTGGAAGAATTTGGGGATCTTGGAGAGTCGCCGTGTTTTTTTTCTCTTCTTTTTCTGACATTTTTGAGTTAGGAATAAAATTAAATGACAAATAATAATAATAAGTATATATACATTGAAAGGAAAGAGAATAATGTCTCAGGAAGTGCAGGGAGAAAATAAATACATGAGGATTGACATGGAACCATTAATATACTAACCCCACTAGATATTTTACTATATGATGACTAAGGATTTGGTTAAGATTTATCCAAAGAAATTTGTCTCGGTATTAATCCAAAATAATAGATCCTTAGCTGCGAATAAAATGACTTAAATATAAAAAAATCCATATGGGACAAGGGTTCAAATTAAAAATCCATATGATGGCATCTTACACTTAATGAAATGTCCCTACAAATATAAAAAACAACACCTTATCTTACACTAAAGGTTGATGGCGAATGATATACTATTGTAGGGACTACGCGTAAATAAACATATAATGCCAATTGCTTGATGACTAGAATTTTATTAAAAAAATGTGAATCAAATTTGATGCTATAAACTTCATTTAAGAACGCATATAAGTTCCAAAATGATATAAATGTTTCACCACCTTTACTAAAAAAATTATAGTAAAGAACTTTCTTGAACTATTAGCTAAACTTTTATGAAAGCTCATTAATGGGAGATGCCGTAGTCTCACCAAAGTTTCTAGAAAATAATATAAAATTTTTTTTGAAAATGGCTGATTTATGCTTCACTTTGGCTGAGAATAGTGATAACATGTTTCAACCTACTTTCTAAAGAGTTAGTTTAAAATAATAGAGTGCTGACAAGAATCAATTTAGCTGAAACACGACATTGACTTATTTTTTTTTTAAGTGTATATCTATATATATCAGATATCTATAATATGAGGTGTAACTATAGTGAAATGTCTGAAACAATTTGAACTGGAATGGAAGTTACATCTTATCAAACTTACGACTTGTATTGAAAAATTCTACAGCTTGACATGTGAATAAAATTTTAATCCGATATTTCTATCTTAATTGACCAAAAATTTAGCTTAATGGCTAAAAAAATTATATCTTATAATGATGAAAAATATAAAGTTTCTAATGATCTCAATAAATTTCTAATAAGTCAATAAATATAAAATCGATAATACCGAAAACTGCTATTATAACGACATCTCGCTATACTGAAAAATATTCTATTTTCTCGGTTAAACTCTGAATTAAATTTAAATAGACAAAATGTCAAAATAAATTAATTATCTCAACTGATTAGATTAGACACTCATGTCTAATTAATTATAAAACTTGAAATAATTAATCCCGTCTTATAAAATTCATTTATAAAACTAAACAGACCGGAATTAATTACTGAACTGGCTCGATTACTGAATAGAATTTAACCTAGAAAATACTTTCGACTTAAAGTCAAACTTATAGCTGAAAAACTTAATAACTGGCTCGGAACTAGGAACGAAAATTATTAATAAAAGTAAATTAGTTCAAACTCAAAACTAAAACTGTTACTTTTATTAATAACTGAATCGGATATTACACCAATCAAGAGCAATAACAATGGGTGCAATCACAAGCTTATTTTTTAACTTATCAAAAGCATCAACACATGTATCATCAAACACGAATGACACATCATTAGCAAGCAAGTGACATAAAGGTTGGCTAATTTTTGAGAAATCTTTAATGAACCTCCTATAGAAATCAGCGTGACCTAAAAAACTCTTAACTCCCTTCACATTCACATGTGGGGGGAGTTTTTCAATGACATCAATTTTTGCTTTATCAACCTCAATACCACGATTCGACACCACATGGCCTAACACAACTCCACTAGTCACCATAAAATGACTCTTCTCCAACTCAAAGTCAAATTAGACTCAATACACCTTTTTGATATAGCATCTTAAGTATGGCTCGTGGACGTTAAGGAAGAGCTCGTTTGGTCCATCAGAGAAAGGTGCTCTGTAACACCCCGCTCATCAGAGTAATTTTTTCGCAACTTTTACTTCGAAAATACTTATAAATCTTTCTAAATCTTTTGCGACTAACTCGGGATGCTACTCAAACTCATCTTCTTGAAAATCTATTTATCTTTAAACTGTTGTCTAATACTTCTTTAGACATAAAGAAAACATATTTCCTTTAAACTTGCATTTAACTGTACCATATTCATACTTCTCGAAATGGTAAAAACTTGAAATCTGAAATGCAAGTTCAATACTTAATGTGCATAGCGGAAATACTTAAAAACGTGGTTTATTATACAGACAGATCAAATACTTAATAAATGTCCACTTGAAATAAGTGCACGACCACCACCACCACTGCTCAGCTCACACCTACGTCCCGACCCTGTTACCTGAAAAACATAATGGGGGTGAGTACTGATGCTCTTGTACCCCGAAAAACACCCATACTAAAGTAAACAGCAATAATAATACAATATCATGATCTTTGGTATATATCTGGACTGGAAATCTGTTCCAGTAACTTAAATTGAATCTGGCCGATATCTGATCAGATACTTGTGCACAATCTGATGGATATTTCTCAAGGCAACTCAAACGGCCTCCATCAGAACTTAGGATATACTTTGAGACAACTGAATGCCTCCTCATCCCAAGCGTATAAACTTAAACTGTATACATACCTTGAACATGATATCAATATAATATACTCAATGTAATACCCAGTCTGGGTCCCCACCTTTCTTCTTTTGAAAACTTTTGAAAAATGTAAGTGTTGCTCTTGTGTAGCTATATCTGCAAGCTATATAAAAATATAAAAAAATATACTAAGTACTATGCTCGTACACTCAATAAGATTTAACTCTTACTTATCCGAATCTTAAAGATATTCAATAAGCTTAATATGTCTCAAATAAATATTAAGTCATTAAACATCTTAACTTTTTCCAACATCATCAACATGATTTATAAACTCATCTTAATCTTTTACTCAATCAAATACTTAATTCGTCATACATCATATCTCCCAAATTTTAAATATTGGCTTATATTAAATTTTCACTTAATTAACTTGAAAGTGAAAATAAACTCAAGTCATACTTCAACTTTTAATCATAACATTTAATCATGATATTAATATGTCATACTTAATACAATCTTTATGAGATTATATACTCAACATATTAAACTAAAACTTTGCCAAATTGCTCATCACTTATATGAGAATTGATCATAATAATCTCACTTTAATAACTCGATCATATCATGAATATTCTTGCATATATACTCATATTTACATATATGCCTAGTAATTATCATAACTCATTCATTTCTCATCTTCAAATCATGAAATTTAACAGTCATAATCTCAACTCATAATTAGACATGTCATAAAAATTTCATAATTTTAGCATGCATATACATCAAGTTATTAGAATTTAAAGTCATAATGAACATAAAATTCATCTTGCATGTTCAACTTCAAAAATTCATAACTCAAGCTATACTTTGCCAAATCACTTAATTCTTATTCCCATGTACTCCTCTTTTACATAAGAATCATTCATTTAAATCATACTTTTCCAGCTTATTCATATCTTTATCAACATCTCATCAAATCAAGCACATATATCATATAATTGATCTTGAACAACTTTAACTCTTTGTATTCATAGAATCAATTACAAATTTAACTTCTAAATCATGATATACTTACTTATAAACATGTAAACTCATTATCAAAACATGAACTTAAGCATAAAACTTTAAGATAAGTAAATTACCTCCTTCTTGCTAGAATCGTAACTTGATTCTTCACTTCTAAATTCTTCACTTCTTCACAATTTCTATTACTTATCTCTCTTACACTCATATATATCTTTTGGTACTTTTGTGTGAGAACTCTGATTTTTAGGCCTCTATTTATAGGCACAATTTGGCAAGACATCATAATGGAGTGAAGAAATGAACAAAATAAACAATTTAAACTTATAAACTTAATTAATCATTAACTATTTTATGATTAACTTGTATTCTTATCCAAACATAATTAATCATAAAAAATGGCCTCTATCTATAGCCATAAATGAGATTTTTGGTAGATAAAACTTATTCCACCAAGTTTAATAAAATTCTCACCAATTGTTGAAAAAAAATGCTAACTTAAAGACTTAACAAAACTTTGTTGTGATTTTCTCATCTCATTCTCACCAATTGATGACCAAAATTTCGTGCTTAATGTGATGTAACTGATTCCATATATTATTGAAAAAATGTCACCATTCATCATATAAAAATCTTTGGAACAAAATAATAAAAATAATAATAATCATCCTTCTTTTTTTATTACTTATGCATTTTCTTTCAAAATGGCTGATTTTTAGAACTCTTTTACTGAAAAGTAATGCTCATATATGGTCTTGGATCATGCTAATAAACCGAGAATAATACAATTTACGGAACTCACTTCGGACTTAAAACGAACGTTTACCGTAAAACTGAAAATTCTAAAATTTAAATCCTTTACTCACAGTTTATCTTCAATTTAATAAACATATTGCTTCTTAGGATCTAATATAATTATCTTGTAATATTCTACATTTACGGAACCACATTCGGATTTAAACCGAACGATTACCGTAAAACCGAAAATTCTAAAAATTTCGGTTTCTCTTAAAATAATTTAATTAGACTATAATGTCTAAATAAATTTTCTCACTTCTTTGAACATTTATCACTTAAATGTTCATGGATACTTAACCGTACTTCGAGACTTAACTTGTATCAACTTATGCTAAAGCTCAATATTATTATCTTTCTTGATGACTTGAACCCTTAGAAAAATTCTAAGTATTTAGTACTAAGGCTCGGCTATTTCTTAATTAAGTTCAACTCATAACTGAACATACTTGAGTTCAGTACACTACTTATCTTAAACGATTAATCAAAATATACTAAATTTTAATTATTCGTTATCTTATATTAATTAATCCCGTCTTATACATCCATTTATAAAAACAAACAGACCGAAATTAATTAATTACTGAATTGGCTCGATTACTGAATAAAATTTAACCGAGAATACTTTCGACTTAAAGTCGAACTTTTAACTGAATAACTTAATAACTGGCTCGGAACTAGGAACGAGCATTATTAATAAAAGTAATTAGTTCAACTTAGAATAATTACTTTTATTAATTACTGAATGGGATATTACATGCTCTCCCAGTTGGTGTTGGTCAGTATGGAAGCTCGGCATGTTGAGAGGAGCTCGGATAGAGGTGGCCGAGCTACTATTGGAAAGCCAATAATCCTGTGAATGCGGGATTCCGTAAAGGATCAACTTGAAGAGGTTGACTGTGAAAGGGGTCTGTAGGCGTGGGGATTAGAAAAGGAGAAGACGGTCACCAAAAGGACTCTATCACAACTAGAAGTCCTACAATTTGGGGACTCTCGCCTATAAGAGGACAGGTTCTTTTAATTTTAGGCCCAGATATATCTCGCTATAATATATATTCCTCTCCGAGAAATCACTTTGCTAACTTGAGCGTCGGAGTGTTTGCGCCGAGACCACCCCCGGCGTGTTGCAGGTATTGACCGACGGAGATACTCAACCCGACAAAGAGGAAGACGAACGGTTCGGAGAAAATTGGTTTAACACCTTTCATGCACACGAGATAAATTATGGAGACAATCAGAAAATGAAGTGTCAAAAATTGAGAAGTCATCCATAAATACCTGTAAGCAGTCCTCAAGAATATCGGAGAAAATGGAGAACATGCACCTTTGGAAAGTCTCGGGTGCATTGCATAGGCTGAATGGCATACGCCTGAAAGCAAATGTGCCGAATGGGCACGTGAAGGTCGTCTTAGGTTGGTCTTCGGGCGCTATGGCTACTTGGTAGTAGCCGGAGAGTCCATCTAGGAAGCAGTAGAACTGATGGCCCGAGAGACGGTCAAGAATCTGATCGATGAACGACAACGGGAAATGGTCTTTCTTTGTCACGGCATTGAGGCGCCGATAGTCTATGCACATTCTCTACCCGGTAGTGATGCGGGTGGGGACCATCTCCTTCTTCTCATTCTCGATGACTGTGATGCCCCCTTTCTTCGACACCACATGGATCGGGCTGACCCACTCGCTGTCTGCCACTGGATAAATGAGTCCCTCGGAATAGAGCTTCAACACTTCTTTCTTCACCACCTCCATCATGTTCGGGTTGAGTCGTCGTTGGCTGTCCCGAAATGGCTTGGCACCCTCTTCTAGGATGATCCAGTGCATGCATGTGGAGGGACTGATGCCCTTCATATCTCCGAGGCTCCACCCAATAGCCTTCTGATTCTTATTGAGTACCTTAATCAGCTCCCTCTTCTCATCTCGGTTAAGCTCGGCAAAAATGATGACCGGCTTTTGCTTCTCGTCATCACGGAATACATACTTGAGGTGGCGAGGTAATGTGGGTGGAGTCGGTGTGTGGGGCTCGTCGGCTGCAAGGAGCTCAATGGTCGGCTTCTTTTAATCGTTGAGGTTGGGCATTGACCTCTCTTCCAAGTCTCGTACGGTCATCTCTTCCACGAACGGGTCGGTTATATCAACAAAGGCGCACTCCTCCACAAAGTTCACCGAGGATGCAGATGTGGCTTCTCGAACGGAAATGGATACTGATTCGCCATAGACTATCATGTTCAGGGTCCTGTTCTTGACATCGATGAGGGTGTTAGTAATGGCCATGAATGGTTGTCCAAGAAGGATGGTGTGGTCCTTCCCATTCTCATGTACGTCTCACACATCTAGGACGACAAAGTCCACCGGGACAATGAGTCTCCCTACACGAACTAGGACATCTTCTACCACTTCTTTTGGGTATCGGATTGAATGGTCTACAAGCTGGAGGCACATCCGGGTTGGTCTCAAGTCTCCTAGGCCGAGCCGCTGAAAGATAGAGAACGGCATAAGGTTGATCCCTACTCCAAAGTCTAGCATTCCCGAAGTCCCCTTCCCATTTTCGAGAGCTATTTGAATCACGAAACCCCCGGCGTCTCGTTCTTTCTTTGGGAGGTCATGCTGCATCGCACTCGCTGCCTCATAGACCACTACCTTCTCCCCATCTCCGAACCTTCTCCCCATCTCCGAACTTCCTCTTCTTTGTGACCAAGTCCTTGAAGAACTTCAATACGAGGGCATGTTCTTGATCACATCTAGGAGTGGTAAGTTGACATTGACTTTCGAAAGCATGTTGTATAGGTCTCCGAATTAATGTTCCTGCTTCTCATCTCGAAGTAGGCTCGGGAAAGGTATGCTTGGCTTGAAGGGGTTCGGTGACATATGTAACAGTGAGCCATCTGTCTGCTTCCTTGAATCAGCTTTTGTACTCTTCCTAGGGCTCTCTTCTGCTCCCTTCGACTGGTCGGTCAGCTTAAGGTCATCAAGTTTGGGCATTTCCACGTGATTGTCTACCTCCTTCCCGCTTCTCAAAACCGTTACTGCTTTGGCTTCCTTAGGCTGGCTGGGCAACTTCGCTTTGTCTGAGTCGGCCTCCATGTTCCCAACTCTCGTGGCAAGCTAGCCCAACTGTGTTTCCAGGCGTTTGATGGATGCATCGGTGTTCAAGCCCTTTTGCTCACTGTTGGCCATAAACTGGAGAATTTTGTCCAGTTTGTCGTCTTGATTTGATGAGCTGGAACCGATCCCTTGTGCTAGCACTCCTCCCATCGGACCCCTCTGTTGTTGTTGTTGCTGCTGTTGAGGATAGTTCGACCTCATCTACTGTTGGGGATGAAATTGGGACGGGGTTGCTGCTGCATGAAGTTCTGTCGAGGCTGCTAGGTGTTGTTGTTGTTGGACCACGAGAAATTTGGGTGGAGAAGGTTGTATGTGTTTGAGTATGGGTCGTTGGCCGTCCGGTTCTGGTAGCCTTGAAGAGCATTGGCATTTGCATACTATTCACCAAAATCCCGATCGAATGCCGAGGGGCACACCTCATATCTGTGCCCTTGGACTCCACAGGCACCACATGCTTCAACGGTCGTAGTCTGCATTGGTTGGCCTCCCTTTGCATTCAGTAGTCGCATCTGCTCCGTGAGCTCGGCTATCTGATGGGCCATCATGTCTCGCCCAGAAGATACTTCGTTGACCCCGACTCTCTTTCCTCGACTGATCTTTTGAGACGAGTTACAACTCATAGCCTAAAAAATATCATTCATCTCCTCGGCCCGTCTTTGCCAAAACATCTCCACCGGCCGCATTGTCCACCATGTACTGAAGATTCTGGTGGAGAGACTCATAGAAGCTGTTCATTAACAAAGCAGGTGGGAAGTTATGGTGTGGGCACTGTCTCTAAAGGTCTTTGAAGCGCTCCCACGCCTCATGAAGTGGCTTGTTCGGTTATTGGGCAAAGGAAACGATTTGGGATCGAAACTCCTGCGTCTTCTGATGGGAGTAGTATTTCCCAATGAACTTGGTGTACACTTGCTCCCAAGTGGTGAGGGAGTCGGGAGCAAGTGTCATAAACCAAGCCTTGGCCCGGACTTTGAGTGTCTCGGGGAAACATCTCATCTTCAGCTGGTCCTCGTTTAAATTGTGGAGAGGAAAAGTTTGAAGGACATTATAGAACTCCCAGATGAAATGGAGTGGGTCCTCGTTGGGTAAACTATGGAAAGATGGCAGCTGGTTGTAGTGGATTGTTTTTAGCTCGTAGTTCTGAGCTGCTGTTCCCAGCCGGATGCATGAAGTCACCAGCCCGATCACCGGTTGAGCTAAATCACGAAAAAGATGACGAGGTGGGTTATTTACTTCCTCGTCACCGTTGTTTGCCATGTCTCCTTGACTATCTGAGTCTCGGTTGGCTGAGTTTGAAGATTCAGGAGCAAGGTTGGCCAACAAGTCTCGTAGATCCCTCTGGATGGATTCGTTGTTTGGGATGATTACGCGACCACTCCTGGTACGCATAAACAAAGACAACAAAAACGTCACAGGCACCAGATAGATAAGAAGGAGACAAAGGAAAAACAAAATAAAAAATCACTAGAACTAGACAAATAAAACGAAGCAAAGAGAAACACACAAAACAAGAAATCACAAAAACACGAGAAACACTGAAAACAAGATGAATAGACGCACAAAATAAGTCCTAAACCTTCCCCAGCAACGACGCCATTTTATTGTAGTAATTTTTATCGGAGTAGAATCGAGAGATTCGAACACCGGGTCGTATCTCAAGTATGGTCAGCCGGATTATTTGTATGAATATTCAATCACATGAAAAGAGAAAAAAAGTTCTAAACACTCTAATTCAATTGGTTGGTTTCGATTATCAACTATGAGATTAACTACTAACGATTCTCAAAACAAGACAATATGATCAATCGCACAGCTTCAAACACGATTCAAATAATGATAAAATGAACTAGGGTGTCGGGGACAATCATTTTCGGTTCTCAATACATTTATTGGGTAATCAACTACTCGACTAAAGGACTCGAAAAACTAATACATTTAGAGATTTATTCTCAATAACTCACGTAACAAGAGAATAAACATAAACAATCAATTATCAAATCAATTAACACATAAACAATACGTAACCGAACAAGTCTAATCTAAACGAGCCTGGATCGATCGATTCCTCCCCTTTCAATTTTAAGAATCGATTTAGTAGATTAATATGGTGATCAATCATCCAATCCTAGTTTTAACATAACTCGACTAGATTGAGCAATCAACATTCACATGGATAAAATTGAACCGGAACAATTATCCCCTAGCCCTAGTTAACGAATTTAGCTACTCATCATAGATTCAACATCAACATTCATGTCAAGAAAAGCCATAACATCACTGAAATGAAAAGAAGCTTACGATTAATAATGAATCCAATATCGAAAACAACGAGCAATCCGAATCCCAAAAGTCAAATCTTGGAGTTTTCACTATCCAAGATCAAAATCAAGTGAAAGATAGGAGAATTGTGTTTTTTAGATGATAGAAAACAAAAGTACAAGTCTGGGATGAAAAAAAATATGCCCTAGATTCGATCTATAGCCTTCTCCCCGTTCAAAATCCATGAAAACCGCGTCTATTTAAAAGCAGACCTTAGTGGCGCTAAGGTGCCTTAGCGCCGCTAAGGCATCTTAGCTGTTTGAGTCTGGCATCGGTAAGAAAGGTAGCGCCGCTAGCCTGGTTGACCTTAGCGGCGCTAAGGCTCTAGGCAGTCCAAAAGTTACTTTTTCTTCGGCTAGCGAGCTCGGCTAGCGTTGCTCGGGTACTGCCCGAGCTAGAAACTCGACCTCTGCATGTTTGGTCGCATGAACTGGGATGAAACACCTGGGAACCGGAATGACCTGAAACCACCAAAACCAGAAAAACACGAAAACCAAGAAAAATAGAGAGAAAAACAAAAAAATACTAAACATACCAAAATAGAGATAAAACACGAGAAACAACTAGACGGACCGGTAATAACTAAGAAACGACCTAAAACGGGGGAAAACACACACAAAACACCCACAAAAATAGAAACAAAAATGGGACAACCAGTCGCATCATGAACATAAACAATAATAACATTATGTATCATCTCTAGTCACATCAATGACTCTAGCCACATCTATGGCTCACTTATGTGCACATCTACTCTTTGCCGTGCCACATCAATGACACGGGAGTGCGTGCCACGTAAGGACACGTCCTTTCTATAGGACTTAAGGAGATTTGCCTCGTAAGGGCAACCGTATTACATCGACGGGGACAACCGTACCGATGGCCATCGAGCTCACATCAATAGGCTACATGCTCACATGCATACATAGATCATACCGGTTAAACACATTTAAAGCACACATGCATAGACATTTTAGAATAACCAACCCACCTGGATTCCGGATTGACAAAAGCAAAACAGAAGGGACGTAGGTCGAGGCTTGACTCCTCAAACACATACATTAAGTCAAGATTATATAATCAACATCTATCTTGACTTAAACAGAAAACACAAATCATACTTAGTCGAACTTGATTCGACTAAGTTGTTCGCGAAGTCCTATGGACATTGGAACACTTAGACTCGACACTTAGACTCCACAAAACACATATGGGGGTTCACATAAATTCAACTAAGAGTTGACCAAGTCAAACAAGTAAGGAACAACATGCGAGCCAGTTTACAGTTTTTAACACAAAAAAACTATATTTTTGAAATACTAGTCGATAAATCACATAATCAGGTTGGTCAGGTTACCGAATGAGTTAGGATCTGAAATTTTAACATAAAATCCAATTCATTGGACTTAGTAAAACCACCAAATTTCAGCCCTTAACTCAAACCACGTGGTTTTATAAAATTCGAACAAGTTTTTAGCAAAAACAAGCACAAATTCAAAGACTGACATAATGAATGATTTACCCTTTGAACATTTTGCACAGGGACCCTCAGCAAGTGATTAACAACATGCAAAAATTTCAGCTTTAAACATTAAACATGCGAATTATGAAAATTACACAAATATTCTGCAGAAATCAAATTTTCAACAAAACCGAATCAAAATGAACTCCAAAAATTCGGAGCATTTTTTCACACACTTAACATCATTAAGAAAGTACTTCATCCAATAATTAGCAATTTATAGCAACGGATAAAATTATCATAATTAAAACAATTTTCAGAAGAATAATAAAATAGATTATCTACCCTAGCAAACAAAATCCAAAAATTTTGAAACTTTTACCCAACATGTAAAAATGATAGAGAGACTACATACTCAAAATTTAGCCAATTTGGAGTACAAATCAGTTTAATATGCAATTTAAAATATTCTTCCTAGAAATCAAAAAAATTAATTAAAATAGCTACTGTTAGTATTTTAATCTGAAATTTCTACACGACAGTAATAATCAATAGAGGACATGCCACACAAAATTTCACATTAATCGGAGCAGTATACAGTTTATCAAGAATTTAATACCAAATCAGCAATCGTATGAGTTCAACAATTCATATACGACTCGATTTATAACGAAATCGTCCGAGGCATTCACCATAAGACCAAGGACACATTATGTTTCAATTCCACAACAACTAAACACGTTTATAACGTGATCCCGTTCGAGTTTGCACGAATCGAAGAGATCGA